GTGCTACATGTACACTCCATGGTTTACACAATCCTTTACACCACTCTCACATGGAGGGGGACCCACGAATATTTTATTGTGTGTAGGCCCCCCTCCATATGAGAGGGGTGTAAAAGATTGTGTAAAGGATTATGTACATTTAGCATAATCCATAAGGTATAATAGATATAAGAAATCTGATATCAGTAAATATGAGTGAAAATGTTTTTTCACAGTACTATAAACTAAAATATTTACTCCGTAAACTAAATAAACTAAGCTATATAATATTGAAAAATTACAACAAAAAGGTACCCGAAATAACAATAATCATGTATCGATTAATACCGATATACATGGCAAAGCTATTCAATTATGAATTTCTGGTCATACTGTAATTCTGGTCATCATTATGGAAACACTTTCATAATAGTGCAGAGATAGTAAAATCACCATAATGGTCATACATTTTGGAAATATATTCACACCAGTGTAGAGCAGATAAAATCACCTGGGCATTTCTTGATAGTTTTAAAAATAACATTAAATACGTTGAAATATACTAATATAAAATGCTAACGAAAGGATTTATCTGAACTAAATTTAACTTCCAAGAGAACTAATCCATTTTATTCTAAAATTATACTTCTTCCACTTAATATGAAAATTAAACCAGTAACTTAGAACCCTAGAAAAATTAACATCATCATTCCATAAGAATTTTTCTTCTTTGCCTCTTGAAGAAATTGAACCCAAGCTATTCTTCGTTCCTTTTTCCTTTTCCTTTCTTCTTTCCTTTCTCCTTTTCCTTCTCTGCTTCTTGTCTTGGTACCCAGCTTTCTGTTTGTACACGTAAAATGAAAAATGGGTTTAAATGACCAAGTTAGTGGAACACTAACTCAAATTTGCAAAGGAAGTCCCTCATCTTTCATTTAATATAACATTTAGTCATTTAACTTTCAATAATAGATAAGTAATTCCCAAATTTAAATGACGTCCATCTAACACCCTCAAATATTGTCAATTGTAAAATAAACTCCAATAAAATAACTTATTCCATATAAGTCCCTATTTGACTTTGACCTTGAATAGTCGAACCTTTGACATCGAATAAGAAATCTTGACTTTTGACTAATATAAAATGGGGTGTAACAAAAATGGGTGGCTTTTGGATAGTCATCAGTGCGACCCTCAGAATCGAAACGAAAATCAGATGTTTCAGATGAGGAGAGGAGTTCTTCCAAGGTCAAAGTTCAACAGTACGCAGAACAACAAGGTAGCGGCTAAAAATGGCCTCAAATACGTAGCTTAAGTGATAGTCCTAGGCCACAGGTGCCTGCCAGAATGGGTAAGTGTAAATTTGAAACAGAGATGAGAGTTTGTAGCAGGCAAAACGATTCTTTATCACCAGTGCGAACGAGAAGGCCAATTAATATATCTAGACAAAGTGAAAGTTCTAGCTTTATGAGTTCCGTCTCCAGCAAAGAGTTGAATCGTCTGAGAGGATTTACTTTTGATCCTCTTCAATTGATGATTCATCAAAGTACCTTATATTCCGAGTAGAATTTCGGATTTCCTATCAAAACATATGTTTCATAATTTGTTCGACTACTGCTTGTCCACCACCTCTTCACTTATCCTGAAACTATTCTTGATATCCACAGCAAGGATTTTACCATTCCTGGAGTTTTGAATGCAGTCCTACAATGATTCCTCTTATGTGAACTCCAAGCAAGATAGTCCTTTTGTACAAATTCATGGAAGTTTAGGGTTGGTTGCAGGTACAACAGATCAGCTGTACATTCTTAGCATTTCGCTCGTGCACCTTGGCATCATGTTACGTCTTTTAGGAAAAAGGGCATTTGCAGGTTTAGCAAGCTACATTAATCTGTACATACAGATTCAAATCATCTTCGAAACAGAGAATTAATGAATATTTGGGCTCCAGTGTATTCTGAGACGATAATCGATATGTTCGTTGACAAATACTATTTATACAGTCATAAAAAGAGCGTGATAATTCTCGTACATTGAAGGGCGAAAATGCCTGCAAAGAATTCAAAACAAAACATATTTTCCAGATGGTAGTGCTACAATCAGATTGAAAGCGATAATTCTGTATAGCAGTATTTATAGGAGGATAAAATCAAAACCACTCTACCAAGTAATCAGCAAAAATCAATAAAAGAATCTAATACTAAGACAAACAAGAAAGATCAATGAATCTCTCTATAACATAGGAGCAATGCTCCGCAGAGGTAGAAGGGCCAGGGGTCGGAAAACCCGTCCCCTCCCTATGAAAATTTAGAATTGTCTGTACCCCAAAACAGTCTTCCCAACACCTCTAGAAATCCTTCCTCCTCCATTAATACCATTCCTTGCAGCAGCAGCCAATCCCTTCAACTCATCCATGTTTGCATAGCTTTTCCTACTCATCAATCCATCACTCTTTTTCTCCCCAGAATTCACAGACTTACTCCCTCCTCCCACTTTCCCATAAACCTTCCCATTCTTCCACCCGGCCGGTGGCGGCGTCACTGACCTCTCCATTACTGGTGGCAGCGCAGCCACTGGCTTCCGGTTCTCCTTCCGTAAGGCGGATGAAAAATCAGGCACCGATCGGGTTAAAACAGATGATTCTTTAGGCCTTCTTGGTGGTGTTGTGAAATTCAAATTCCCCTGGAATTTCACCTGCTTCTTTGGAGGAGTCAAAACCGAAACAGATTTATTTTGATTCTTTTCCACTTCTACTTTTTCTGGGGTTTTTTGAACTTCAATCAAATTCTTTGATCTTAGCTTCTTTTCTCTCAGATCAGCATAAGCTTCATATCTAGGGCCTCTCTCCATGACAAAACTCTCTGTTGTGAGCGGTAGGAGTTGGGTTCTATCAGAATCAGAGAACTGAGAGACAATCAACGGTTTGGGATTAAAGAGATGGTTTTCTTGTAGCAGAGAGCAATTGGCCTCTGCCATTGATGGAGGAATTCTTTTTGTAGACTTTGCAGTTTAATGGAAGTAGTTTTGTTTTTAAAAATATGAGTTTTCAACGGTCTAATAAAGAAAGGTATGAGCGCCTTGCATTTTGCTGCCAACGTTCTAATTAAAGGTGGACCCTACTTGAATGAAGAAAAATTAAAAGTTGGATCTTCGATGGACCGTCCGATTCTTCCCTTTTGACCCGAAAAAGGAGCGGGCATAGGACCCGGCCCTAGCTTTCACTTTCTTCCTTCTTCTTCCTCTTTTCCTTGTGGGACATTACAATTTAGATTTTAGACTCTTGCTTAGAAGATTCAATTTGACCAAAAGGGAAAGGGTGAAATATAAAATAAAAATCAATATTCTACTCAGATATTAGGTTTAAGAATAAAAGGACTCGATATCGAATGAGACACTCTTAAATATTCCCTCAAATTCAATGTCTACTTGTCATAATCAACTATTGACTTAAGTGTTGAAGTATCTTCGATGAAACATTCTATCCTCATTTTGAATAAGCGTTTAGAAATTTTAAGATTTTTCGATTGTCGACATGGTGAAAATTTCCATTGCCGACATGACTCGCTTGAGTCAATAATTTTTCTAATAAAATGAAATAAAAGCTCAAATTTATGTCGAGGGATCCTAACAACCAAAAAATTGGCTATTTATTATTTTGTTAGGAAAAAGGTTCACGTGATTCTATTGGTGCGGTTTTCAAATTTACATTGGCAGTTTTGTATATAGCTAGCAATGTTGTGGAAACAAAAAGGGTAAACAGAGCCTTGCAAAGTAGTGTTATTGTCCCCCCATTTTGCTTCTTATGTCTGATTTTGATTGTTGTGTAGGTGCAATATCCTGTCTGAATGGCATCACAAGGACTCTTTAATGATCACTAATTGAGAAAAAAAGGGAAAACAAAAGAAAAACTCACACGGATGGGGACATGTTTGGCATATACCTAAAGTGTGAGTGACACGATTTTGTAGAAACGTGTTGGAAGAGACGTGCGTTATGGTAATTGCTAATGATTTAGTTGATCCAGATCTTCAATAGATCTATTTTGTTGAGAATTAAGGGAATGTACACTTCCTGCATAGTGGAGAATCTTAAAGCACAGTCTTTCCTGCACAATCGCGATGCCAAAGGGTGGCAACCCGGCTTTATTACATGCTCATCCATATCAAAAAGAGTGATTTCAAATCAATCACAGAAGCATCTGCCAATAATCCTAACCACATATATATCTACACAGCCACATATCTCATGCCACTTTCATTGAATTTTCCAACGTATCAGATACTAAATGGTCTGCGTATATTTTGCAGGTCATATTCCCCCTTGAAAACAGTAGAAAATTTGGCTTGGGGATGTTTCTGAGGACACTATTCTGCGAACCAGAAGATAGTTTCATACTCACCTTCTCAATCATCCATTTTCTCCACCAGCAAACACAAGCTTCAGTTCTAGCTACTACATCTACATGTTCGATTTCCTTTCCCACCTTTCCTTCGTGTCAAGCCTAAACAATGGTAGCAAATATAGCAAGTTACATAAGTTGATGCAAAATTAGCCTACTATATTAAAGAGTAAAAACGTTGGCAATCAACATTTCATTTTCAATTGTCGCGATACTATAACGGAATTGAAATGACTACATCAATAAACTAAGGTTGAAACGTACCCCCAATGCAACTTTTGGCACTCTTTTGATGTCTTGTTTGCTGCTACTTTGCCTTGTTCCAAGGAGGAAGTATGTCCCAAACTGTTTTCCAGGGATGGAACGCTGGAATTTGAAATGCTTTTACTTGGGTTTCTATCTATGCATTCTTTACCATTGATGTCCTTCCCACGTGATTTGCCAATGCTGTCAACTAATCCTACAAAAATATCCTCGGAAAATCATACAAACTCTCACATCAAGGGAGCAATGCCTACGTACGACAATATGACATACCTTTTGGTTTCTTTTTTATTTTTGATCTGGCTTTTATTTGTAAGCGCCTTCGATGCAATTCCTAACAAAAAATCCCAAATGCTTTTACAATAACATCTCCAAGTTACAAGAAAGAGAAGCAACTTATGATCACCCATTACTTCAGAATGCAATCAAGAAAACAGGACAGCTACAACAATAAATTGTTCTTCGATTCCGAAGAAAGTAATAAATTTTAGATCGGCTGTGTAAATCCTTTTCTTCCATGCTTTTTTTGCTGCAATTCTTTTATATATTGTTGAACGGATAACCAGAATTCTCTCTTGTATTCAGAAAGCAGGCATTATAGCTCACAAATCCATAAAGTTGAACTGGCAAAACAAATCATCATCTTTGAATTGGCAAACGAAATATTAGGTAGCAATAACATTATTCATAAAAGCCATATAGTTTTCGGTATTTTGCTGATTCTCGATATATAAGAGTTAGAAAGTCAATGTAATGGGTTAATAATCCTTTGATCTCGAAATCAAATCGTCTGGTACAAAACGTTAGAATTTAGAACTGCAGGGAAATAATAATAATAAAATAGCGAAGCGATCAGGCTATACTTGGAACTTAGAAAGCTGGGATGGAGTGAGCCCACTTTTGGGCTTGAAATTCGGCATTAAAGATGCTGCAGAGGCTATAGATGCTTCTCTCCTTTCGTCGTCGTCTTCTCCTCCTTCCATTCTCCCTCTTTCGCTCTCAATGTGAACGTGTTGTTACAAAAGGTTACGCAATTCTGAATCACAGACAAATGCCAGCAGATTGCTTTAGCGAGAATAGGTGATGAAAATTAGGGTTCTTGACATCAGATCAGGAATGGGAGCGGTGTCTTGGTTAGAAAAAGATTGTCTTATTTGCAGAAATGGTCCCTCATATATGACACACATGTGGAATCAGGAATTACTGTTTCAATCCTAACAATGACGTCCCCATTTGACTCTTGAATGTGAAATTGGTCTTTCTCGTATCTTGCAATTCCGTTTGCCCCTCATTATTTCGTATTATAATTTTTGGAATAACATTTTTTTGGAGAATGAGTGATTGAAGAAGAAGGAAACTTTTTCGATTTACGTGTAATATTATTTCATTAGAAAATGTGTGATTGAAAAGAAAATATAGAAAAATGTATATAATTTTAACAATCATGCTACACGTACATAATCATTCACATAATTTTCTACACCCTCCTCACATGGAGGGGGATCACACACACAATAAAATATTCGCGCACACTATTCATGTGAGACAGGTGTACGTACACCTGGTGTACAAACAGCTTTATACTAATTTTAATGTGGTCGAACCGGTAAGTCTATTTTTCTGCTTTGAAGACCATTAAATTCTTACTTTAATTAAAATTAAATTTCGTTGGAAAATTGAAGGTCAGCCTCCCCGGCCAATTAGAGTGCTGATAAATTATTTTAGAAGATTATAACATGAAAAAATTGAATTATCGTTTATTATTCAAGGTTTTTTTTTTTTTTTTNTAACAAGAAGCTAAGGCTTCTTTCACATAAATTTTAGATCGGCTACGTAAATCCTTTTCTTCCATGCCTTTTTTTTTTTTTTTGCTGCAATTCTTTTATACATTGTTGAACGGATAACCAGAATTCTCCTTTGTATTCAGAGAGCAAGCATTATAGCTCACAAATTCATAAAGTTGAACTGGCAAAACAAATCATCATCTTTGAATTGGCAAACAAATCATTACAAAAAAAGTTCCATTTAATAATAAACAAGAAAGAATTAAATCCGATGCAAAATAAAGCCGTAAATATTCGCAAGGAAAGACACAAACTTCACCAAAAAAAAAAAAAAGGAAACGAAAGATTATGTAGCAATAACATTATTCATAAAAGCCATATAGTTTTCGGTTTTTTGCTGATTCTCGATATATAAGAGTTAGAAAGTCAATATAATGGGTTAATATTCCTTTGATCTCGAACTCGAATCGTCTGGTACATAACCTTAGAATTTAGAACTGCAGGGAAATAACAATAATAAAATAGCGAAGCGATCAGGCTATACTTGGAACTTAGAGAGCTGGGATGGAGTGAGCCCACTTTTGGGCTTGAAATTCGGCATTAAAGATGCTGCAGAGGCTATAGATGCTTCTCTCCTTTCGTCGTCGTCTTCTCCTCTTTCCATTCTCCCTCTTTCGCTCTCAATGTGAACGTGTTGTTACAAAAGGTTATGCAATTCTGAATCACAGACAAATGCCAGCAGATTGCTTTAGCGAGAATAGGTGATGAAAATTAGGGTTCTTGACATCAGATCAGGAATGGGAGCAGTGTCTTGGTTAGAAAAAGATTGTCTTATTTGCAGAAATGGTCCCTAATATATGACACACATGTGGAATCAGGAATTACTGTTTCAATCTTAACAATGACATCCCCATTTGACTCTTGAATGTGAAATTGGTCTTTTTCGTAACTTGCAATTCCGTTTGGCCCTCATTATTTCGTATTATAATTTTTGGAATAACATTTTTTTGGAGAATGAGTGATTGAAGAATAAGGAAAATTTTTCGATTTACGTGTAATATTATTTCATTAGAAAATGTGTGATTGAAAAGAAAATATAGAAAAATGTATATAATTTTAACAATCATGCTACACGTACATAATCATTCACATAATCTTCTACACCCTCCTCACATGGAGGGGGATCACACACACAATAAAATATTCACGCACACTATTCATGTGAGACAGGTGTACGTACACCTGGTGTACAAACAGCTTTATCCTAATTTTAATGTGGTCGAACCGGTAAGTCTATTTTTCTGCTTTGAAGACCATTAAATTCTTACTTTAATTAAAATTAAATTTCGTTGGAAAATTGAAGGTCATCCTCCTCGGCCAATTAGAGTGCTGATAAATTATTTTAGAAGATTATAACATGAAAAAATTGAATTATCGTTTATTATTCGAGGTTTTTTTTTTTTAACAAATTGTATGGTTAGAATATCTCTAGGAGATTCCTTATCTTCAAAAAGCATATTGATCATAATAAAGAACATATTAAAATATAAAAGTAAATTTTATTCACTCTTTGCCCTTTATTCTACTTTTCCTAACAACTTTTATTTTTTTTCTTATTCTTCATTTAATATATATATTTTTAGATGTCAAAGTAAAATATTTAATATAATATAAATAATTTAAATAGTAGAGTATTGCACTTGTAATTTTGTTAACTACAGTAATAAAAAACCAATAGAGGAGCACCTCTAAGCCCCGTTTGAGCTCTATTATAATGTGTTTTTGGGAAAATGTATTTTAAAATAATGTTTTTTTTTTAATGTGTGATTAAAAAGAAAACAGAGAAAAATACATTTTGTATTAAATGAATACAATGCATTTCATAGACTACTTCATGTAAATAGAAAAACTTTTGATCTGCATGGCATTAAATTAAATAGATAAATAATTAATACCAAACAAGTACTTAGAAACACTGTAACGCAATTACGTTGAGTCTTGATATGTGGTTGCTCAGTACTCAACTAGTCGTTGGAAAAGTAGATTTTGATGCTACAGCTGATATCGAAAGTATTGGTAGATGAAGGACAATGGACTAGAATTGAAACTAAATTACTGTTGCAATAAGTAAATAATTTTAAAGACAAGACATCGCTTCCAGACTGCCAGTAACATACAGTGTAGAAGAATTAGAACCACACTGGCTCGTGTCATAAGAATTCCAAACCCAACGACAAGAACTTCTCCATAATTTGATTATTGCTCCTGTGTTTTTTTTTAATACCCAGGTATCCTAGTTTAGCCAGACTAAATCCTGAACCTCTAGCCATCGGCCCCTCAGTGACTCGAGGAGGTAAACCGCGGGTTATGCCTTTGTTGACTCACAGGTTCCTGCACCGCTTATACTCCTAGCCCCAAGAAAGCTTTCCTCACTGCCTTCCAGCCATTGCCTTGCTTTCGAGAAAATCCTCCTTCCAAGACTCGTGCCTTCCAAGAATCGAACTCTCCACGCTGGGGTTGCGAGCCCACAAATGCAATTGTTCCACCAACTCGGATGTGCCCCGATGGGCGCTCCTTCATGTTTTTTGATTGGTACTAACAAAAATATAATTTGAAGATAATTTTGCAATTCTTTTACGTTTTTTGGAATTTTTTTTTTTCTTTTTGTCTAGCTTGATTCTTTTTTTATACTCGTAATATAAAAAATATCTGTAAGTTTGTATTCGACGAACAAGGTTTGATATCTAGTATTTTCTTCCTTTCTTGATCAAAATTTTGAGTCAATTTTATTTGCAAAATATTACTGAAAGGCAAGATGCAATCAAATTGTATAGAGGGAAAAAGGAAATTATTTTTCTTTAAGCCAAAAACTGTTTAACTTTAGGGATGACAATTGGAACTCTTAAAATTGAAACCGCGACTAACTGAATCGAAGGGGGCCAAAAAAATCGAACCGATGGTTCAAATTAACTTTTATTTAGCCAAAACTAATAAAGTTTCAAGTTGTATAATTTTATTGAAAAATAACTAAATTACAATTAAGCCGACAAACCTTTCTAAAATATGGATTTCTCACCACCAAACAAAAAAAACATCATGATTCGAGGGTCTAAAATCTAGGCCCATGGAATTTTAAAGTGTGGTTGCAAAAATATTGTTGAGAAGTGAGAGTGCCCCCACACACATTACATTTTCAAAAGTATTATGTAACATCAAAAAGGAGAAACTAAAATAAGACACAACTTTAAAATTAGAGTATTCGTTCGTTGCCTTTCTTTAAATCTTTCCTAGTGGCTTTGTCCTCAAAATCTATGGCACTTTCAATTATTATACCCCACCATCAATTGTAATTTCTAAAGCAAAATTTCAATTTTCTTGTAGTTAAAACAAATAGTTCCTTGCCTTATTGGTCAAAGAACCCGATATTTTTTGTTTGTCAAGTGGCAAATATGACTTTTGCTGTGCACATAGAAAAGTGTTAGAATACACACAAGATAGATGGGGCCTGCATTTTTGGCAATATTTAATTTCACGTGGAGCCCGTCTCCACATGACTTTTTTATTGAACTTATGTATGAGATTTTTCTGTACAAATGAAAATATTCGATAAATATACAGTGATTAAGATATAAGCGATTGTGGATTGAGTAGCTTCTTGTAATTATTAAGCCCATGTTTGGCTTAGTCAAAAATCAATTTTTTTGTATATTTTGATAAAAAACTTGATGTGTGGTTGAAAAGTTGATAAAAATTGTTAATCCCATAAAATGAGTGATTGAAATTATATATATATATATACAGAAATGATCTAATGAGCACCGGTGCTCATCTTATCCTAAGCACCGATGAGTTGACACATTAATTCATTGGTGGATTGGAACTCACAAAATCTTTATCCATCAATGAA